CTTCGCTTGCTGATAATTTTATCCTTATAACTCACTCATCCCACCCCACCACCTGAAAAAATCTTGGATCCAACAGTCATATTGGGGCATCGTTTTATTTTTCCTACTTGGACCTATAAGCAAGGAGTTATATCTGTTATAACTCCTTGCTATAAGGCACTAGGCAATAATATAATTTTTATTAAAGCTCTCATCGACGAATCAGTCATGCGATCCAGGCACTTAGCTGAAGGGTCGAGTCTGTTATGCCTCGCAGGATTTCAATTGCCTTATACTGTATATAACGATTTACGTTTTAATTATTTATGACAAAAAGGTCCATTGCATATGGACATGTACTCTCATTAAGCAAATCCTTTTTAATTTGATGGATATTACATGCAGTTGTTTTCTGGAAATGCTCTCCTGCAATAAGCCGTTAAAATGCAATGTGAAAAAAAAAGAACTGCAAAATATCTTTATTCTGTAATTATTTTTGTAATTATTTTTGCTTTGGCTTGAAGCCATGAAAAAACAACTTCGGCGTATGAAGTTTAATTTGTTGTTGCCTCAAAACCGGAGATGTTTGCTTTTGCATCATGGGTTATATCTTGTCGACCGCCTAGCAACGCGTGGTAGATAACTTGCGATTTATTGATTTAGTTTCAAATAACAGCGTTTCTTTTTAAGCACATCCATGCAATTAGGCGAATAGCTCAATCGAGTAGTAATTAGGCAGAGGAGGAAAATCAGAAATATGAAAAGGTCCAGAGCCATTCACTTGCAATTAACTGACTGCTCACAAAGATTGTCACGATGACTGAAGAGAGAGTAAACTAATTAATGAGGGAAAATAATAATGAGAACAAGCAGATGTGAGAGAGAAGAAATGACAAAGTCGATAAAAATACCAGTACAATGGGCAATAATAATTAATAATCTCCATGACTGAAACACTGTCCAATTTATAACAGGAAGTGGTCTAAAGAAAACTGTCTATATTGTAGAACATATGCTTATATATCAAAACATTATATCTCTTTCCTAATAAATTTGTCTAAACGGCCAGAATGGGCATGATGAATTATTTTTCGATTACCCATAACTGAGCAAATTCTGACCTGGTGAATAATGAAAATATACATGCCCCCCCCCCACCCCCCAGAAAAAAAAGAAAAATATCCATATAACCATCTTTATCCGCTCATTAGCAGTAGCTAAAGCTATTATCATAATGCATGTTCTTTTTCTTCTGACAATTGGTTCCTCCAGTAAGAATCTCCTAACGTGGACTTTATGCGCATTACCTCCTGTCGAAGAAAAAAAAATAATAAAGTCCTTACCTTCAAAGCTCCTCCTAACACTACGACTCATCGATGACTTAATAACATATAATTAAGCTGTTCGTTAATTTACTTTGTTTTTATTTATTATATTATTATTATTTTAAATATAGCACCAGCAAGCGGTTTCATCAAGATAGACGCCAACTGGTACCTGTGGGTTGAGGCTCAGAAGACTTGGTCAGACGCGGAGGCTCACTGCCAGAGTCTTCACTCCTCTGCCCACTTAACGGACGTTCCTTCTCTGAAACTGAACACGCGGTTGATCAACTACGCCAGGCATAATCAAGGAGGTAACTATAAACGGTCATGAAATCTTAAAGGGATAACAACTCTTCGGTTTGGCAAAAAAAAAAAAAAAAAAAAAAAAATATATAT